CAGCCTGGACAAGGTCCTGTGCAGCCTGGACAAGGTCCTGTGCAGCCTGGACAAGGTCCTGTGCAGCCTGGACAAGGTCCTGTGCAGCCTGGACAAGGTCCTGTGCAGCCTGCCCTAGGTGACCCTGTTTCAGCAGGGGGGTTGGACTAGATGACCCACAGAGGTCCCTTCCAACCCCTACCATTGTGCGATTCTTCTGCAATTCTTCTGCTATGGTAAGGGTTGGAAGGGACCTCGAAGATCATCTGGTTCCAACCCTCCTGCTATGAGCAGGGACATCTTCCACTAGACCAGGTTGCTCAGAGCTCCATCCAACCTGGCCTTGAACACTGCCAGGGAGGGGGCAGCCACAGCTTCTCTGGGCAACCTGGGCCAGTGCCTCACCACCCTCATGATGAAGAATTTCTTCCTAATATCTAACCTAAATCTGCCCTCTTTTAGTTTAGAGCTGTTCCCCTTTGTCCTATCACTACACACCCTTGTGAAAAGTCCCTCTCCATCCTTCCTGTAGGCCCCTTCAGGTACTGGAAGGCTGCTCTAAGGTCACCCCGGACCCTTCTCTTCTCCAGGCCGAACAGCCCCCACTCCCTCAGCCTGTCCTCATAGGAGAGGTATTCCAGCCCTCTGATCATTTTCGTGGCTCTCCTCTGGACCCACTCCAACACATCCATGTCCTCCTTATGTTGGGGGCTACTATCAACTACCTAGAAGCTGACCAGGCTGTGTTGGTGACCAGTAGTCTCTCAAAGCAGCAAACCAATAGATGTGCATAAATAATCCTGTATATCTTTACAGGATGGGAAATGAGAGGCTGGGAGATACGCCACTCTGCAAGTTTACAGTATGGTTTCTTATGAAATCTTCTTCAGAGCTGGCATCAATCTGGAGAATGGCAGGGAAACTCTGGAGGCATGTGAGCAGGATTGTTGAAAAGACTGGGTGGGGCTGCGTGGGGAGGAAAATTCAAATGGTCACAGCAGTCAGGGTGGAGAGGAAAAGGAGGAAACAAACAACTGTGGACAATCAGTGGAATTTAAAAATTGCAAACTTCATGTATTAAACCTTTGCATGCATTGCTGCAGGATGTTGAGGCTCGAAAGTTGGCCGACTTCAAAAGGCAAATGGTCAGCTCTGACTGCTACAGTCCGCAGGCAGCACTGGCCGACACAGCTCGGTGTTTCAGTCAGCACTTCACTGCTGAGTGTAAGGATGAGGGCTGTGTTGCACAGATTGTAGGTCGCACCACTTTCTGAAGCAACGGGTCTGGCTTGCTGAAGAAGTTACTGGATTATATGGCCCATTGGATGTGCCTGGCTGTGATAACTCCAAGCTTGTCTGTTTCCAAATCTGACCCATCTCAAACTTTGCTGAGCTACTGTTTCTTGCTCTGTGGCAATATTGCTAGTTTTGTGACCGCTTGTGCAATCTCAGAAGGTAGAGTTTTGAGGAGTTTCATTAATGTAGTGAATAAATGTAAGTTTAATTTCTTAAGGATAACAGAAGTACTAGAAAATATAGAAAATTTCAGTATGTGGAGCCCTGAAGTATCTTAAAAGCTCAGAGCAAGACTCTAAAAACCTGGTTCTCTTTTGGCTTGAAAGCTGCACTTTGAATTACTGCTTTATGGCTAGGAGCTATGAAAGAGGTGTATCTCCATGTGGCAAAAGAAGAATGGTGCATAATGCTGTAATGTACAGTTGGTTTTGGGTTGTGTGTTTTTTATAAAACATGGAAGATGGTATGCCTTAAGGCAATAGCTGGGAGCAGAAGAGCCTTGGAAGCAATCTTTTGCTCTTGTCCTCTCAGACATGTCTTCTTCCACATCAGCTCTTCTCAGCTTGTTTGACTACTAAATTATCCTAGATAACTCTTGTGAAGATCCTAACAGCTCTGCAAATCTGTTTTCCTGACTAATCAAAGTAATGTGGACAGAGTAGGAAACAGGCAGCATGCAGCTACTTAGTGCTAGGAAGCAAATCAGCAGGTACTGGGAGTTGCCCCTCCAGCTTGAAAATAAGGATTGCCCCGGGGACCGGGCACCTTAAGGTAAGAAGTGTGGTGCCTTGTGCAGGAGGTTATTATCTAGCTTGGCTCTTGGCTAGGTTGAAGAGTAGAAAAACACTTGTATCCTCCGCAACAGACATTCACCATCGCCTGGGGACCTGGCTGCCTAAATGTTCTGGATAGACTGCCAGGCTCCAGTGTGCGATGCTGTTAAGTGGAGATGTGTTCTGGTGAAGCCAGTAAGCAAGCCAGCTGGATGGAAAACTTACGTCTTGGTTATCCTCTCCAAGTGCAGTCGTAGGTGTTGGTGCCTGCCAGGATTAACGGCCCGAGAGAACGTTTCTCCTGCAGAGGAAAGGGGGGGAGCGTGCAGTTTGAAGGAGGCTACATTTGTGCTGTCCCTGCTCAAATACTCATCCCTTTTCCGACATACCATTAAAAGGCGTGGTAGTATTTGGGCTATAGCTGTTCTGTGATGGCAAGCCGGTATCTGATTTGTGGTAGGAGAGCTGCTCTAATGTGAGCAAGGCTTGTTGAATAAACTTGCTGTCATTAACCAAGTGCAAAAATGTGCTAACAGAGCCTTCACTCACTTTCCGTGGGTTGGTAGTGATGCAGCTGTTGTGTAGTGCATCTGTGCTGGAACAGAACCAGCTCATAGCTGGTGGCTGCACCTGGTGGGACTGGAAGTGGGAATGTTGTGTGTGTTTGATATTTGGTGTAAGTATGGACCAGAAACTATTACAGAAGCTTTCCCTGGCTGACTTGAAGGACCTGCTTCTGGCTGCTCCTGGCTTTACGGACTCTGACCTGAGGAGTTAGCTGAATAGAAAGTGACTGAGGTGATGCTAACCTAGCTGTGCATTAAGAAATCCTTAGGTGCAATGACTGCTGTATAGATGGGATTTTTAACGTCAACCTGTAGCACATCTGGCTGAGATTGTATTTTTGTGCTGCTTTCCCATCTCAATAGCATCTTGCTAGGTGCTGTGCAGTGACAGGCTTAGCACAGCCTCTAGCTATGGCATCCCATGAAGTTATAGTAGTATTGTCTTCAGCCACAGAGTCCAGACTTGTGGTAATTGGAGGGTGACCATTGCTCGCTGGGAAGACTAGCAGGTTATAACAAGGCCCCACATACCAGTTTAGCTCCAGAGTTAACCTAAATATTTAATAGGATTAAGCAAAAGCCTTTGACTGAAATGTACTGGGCTCCAGTGACCCTCAGTACACCCAGGCTGGGAGCTGGGAACCCTACTGACCTTGCTCTCTGTGGTTGGCTCTTCCCAGGCCAGACTGGTGAACCCAGCCTAGTATTGCTCTTCCTCTGGCTGTTGCTTCTTGAAGCAGCATGGTCTGTTCTGAGCAAGGAGCTTGCTAGAGCAAATTTTAAAGAACTTGCGTCCTCTGTTGTCTGTGCAGGAACCATAGCTGAGCATGGGAGAGGAAGGAGAAGCAGGAAAGCTGACCTCTGAGACATTCCCCCACCAGTCCTTATGTGTTATTCAGCTGTGCTGCTTCCCCAGAAGGAGGCTTGCTCCAGCAGTGGGGATGGTCTGTGGGACTTCTTTCTAGCTGCTGAGCCCTTTGCTGTCAGACAAGTGAGAACTGAAGTAGCTTGCAGTCATACAGATCTATTTACTCCCCAGATCCTATAGCACAAAGACCTGATGAGGATCCATTGCTGATAAGCTACCGAATTTGCAGTGTTAGGACCAACCTTGTCATCTCTCTTCATGCTTTACATAGGCTTCAGCTGTGGTAATTGAGCAGAGTTAACTTCAGAAACCGTGAAGTACCTTCTCTCTGTGGTGAAGACCTGTCCTGGAGTTTCTCTCTTGCCCTCTCTGTATTACTTGCTTGCTACCCCGTGGATGTGTGTAGTTTGTGTGGCTGGTACCAACAAACTAAAACCAGCATCCCATCTTATCGGTGCTCCCACACTGCCTCGAATTTGTGAGGTTGGCTTTGGAAATTGGGGCTTGTTGAAACGTTGTTTGTCTTGGTCTTGCAGCAGAATTGGTGGTACGTAACCATGGACAAACTCTCTGGTCCTCGTGCATTCTCAAAGCACCAGGTGCTGAGTTGTGCACAGGAAGGTTGATTTAATGCTGCATTTTAGATGGACTCCTTGACCTTGCTCTTCGGTGTTCCTTCAGCTGCTTAGGGGTCACGAGGAGATGAGACTTTCTGGGGGAGGGAGCTGGCCTTGTGAGCTCCTTCTTCAGATAAGTGCATCCCTTTTCTCTGCCTGGAGTGGTAGCTGGAGTTGGGTGTTTTGGTTGATGCTATCAATGCAAAGTCTGCATAAATAGTGATGGAATTAGCAGTGTATTTGTGATTAAATCGCTTCTGTAACTGCTGATAGTCCTCTCACTCTCCAGGAGATCTTGGCAGCAGTGGCTGTTTGTAGTGAGTGTGGTGTCCTGTTTTGCTGCTCTGGAAAGGCAGCTTCGGTAGTTTACAGAGCATGTGCTTGCTGTGCATCTGCTCTGAGACCCACCAGATGATCCAGAGCTCTGCACAGGGTAAGGGTGAAACTGCCTGGAGGACCTGACACGAACATAACTGGCTGTCTGTCTGCTTTCCCCTTAGGTCCTGTAAGTGAAAGAAGATGGGGTCTGGCTGCCTAAAAGTCACCAAGTACTTCCTCTTCCTCTTCAATCTCCTGTTCCTTGTAAGTATCATGGGCATCTGCAGAGTGGAAAGGAAGGCATGGACTAAAATTAGCTGGAAAGGTGTTTGTTCTGGATGTTGGCCCAGTGTGTTAGTTAAATAAAACAGCCAGAGTTTTGGAAGGAAGGAGGGAATCCCTGAAGTTGAGGGACATCAGAGCTGCTGTGGAGCTCCCATGTGTGTCGAGCAACTCTGCTCCCAGGACCCGCCTGCTGTCTCCAGTGCACACAGGTCCCTTCCTGCAGTGGGAAGGGCAACGGGAGTTATGGGTTCTTTCTGGAAGGAGAGTAGTTGTAACTACTTTCACTGCCACATCTGGAGCAGCAGCTGAGCTGCCCCTGAGCAGCACGGCTACAAAACTTGCCAAGTAAAGGCAGTGCCCTCCTAAATAGGCCAGGCAGGCTTCAAAGAACAACTCTAATTTTGTTCGAGTCCCAGCGGCTGGTTTTGATTTTTAGCAAGATGAATTAGTCCAAGTCCCTTATTTGAAAGGGAGTTGGGAGATGGGGAGACTGGGGCAGGCTTGCTTGGGGAAATGAGGAAGCCCACTGGATGCAGTTATTTTCAGGTGTGAGACTTGGCAAATGATGAGCTTGTTTTGGATCAGAGCGGGTCTGGGAGGGCCACACACATTCTTGCATGCATCCTTTTGTCAAGCTTAGATATTGTATCTCATGTGGATGGTGATGATGCGGTTGGTGCTACCCTCCTGCAGTGGGATGGCATAGTGGGGAGGTAGACAGTTTCAGCTTTCCACACATCAGCAAGAAAAAAGCCTGTCCGATATCGTTATGCTTTGTGCAGCTTGTAAGGGGAAGGAAGGGCCAGGCTGGAAGGGCAGGGAGGGAAATGGAGCATGGTAAGGTGAGCACTGCTTTCTGGTCTCTGTCCTCGCACGCAGCTTCACTCCTGCTTCCTGCATGGCTGCACTGTGCTACTGGTACATGGGTTTGAACCTGAGGCACATTTGGATCTGGTTTCCCTTGGCTTACTCTGCTGGCTCTTTCGTCTGTGCATTTTGCTTCCATCCTAAGAGTAGTTAGCTCGGATCTAAGGGCCGAAAGTCAGGGGTGCTCAAAGCATCCGTGGGGACGACTTCTGGGCAGGAGGGAGGGGAGAGGTTTCTCAAGTGCCACTAGATCTTTCAGAGTATGATTTGGTGTCTGAGTCTTGCTGAAGTCCATTACCTGGGCACTGTCCAGTCTTCCTTCATCACCGAGCCTAGGTCCAAGTTCATTAGATACCTCTGTATAGAGAAAGTTCTCCGAGAAAGCCAGCCTAGCATGGGAGGAAAGGGGAAAGACAACAGCCTGAAAGACTATGGTGCCTTGCAACATTGCCGCTGTTTTTACTGGATGCTGTCGATGGTCGTTGTGACATCTCTATTCTGCATTGCCCTCCTCTCCCCTCCCTCTCTGCTGAGCCAGGCATGGTCGCGGGCGGCCTGTGAAGATGGCTGGGCTGTCAGGAGGCAGAGTTCAACTGCTGTGTCAAGCTGACCCACATCTGCGCAGAAAAGCATTTTCCTGTATTTTGCCAGGCACTGGGAGGATGGCATGCACTGAATCCTGCTGCAGGTCTTGGGGAGGCTTGAGCCTTCCCATCTGGATTGCAAGTGATGGAAAACAACTGTTCTTTGCACACCCTGCTCCAAAACAATTCCTCTGGTGTAGCAGCAAGCCCTTCTCCCTCTTGAGGATAGCAGACCTGATGCACCAAGCTGGGCCTGAAGAGTAATGAGTTTGAAGGTGGCATGTGAGGAGCCTGTGCTGCTTTAATGAGCTATTTGCTAAGCCTGCCATGCAGCATGGGTGCTGTCTTCCCCTTCGGCTGTTCTGTGGAAGTGAGGTCTCTGAAGCTGCTGTGTTCTGGTGGGGAGCTTGATGCTTCTCTAGAGTGAAGATTTTGAGTGTGCTTCTGTCTTGGCAGATAGTAGGCTTTTTGCACGTGCCAGATGTTGAGGAAGGGGGTATCTGTTACTCGCTCGCTGTCATAGGAAGTAGTTGACATGAGGAGCTTTTTCCGTTATGGTTGTTCAAGGTCTGAACGGGGATTCTTGAGCTTATACAGTGTGGTAGATCAGCATTAATTTAGCAGAGAAACTGCTTCTGTTGAGCTGCTGTGAGCTCCCAGCACGGACAGGTTTTGCGTACCTCATACTGGTTTCTCAGAGCTGCTGAGTTTTGTTGAGGAGAGTGCTTGCACAAATGTGAACATTAATGCTGGTGATGGAGCTCTGTGTCTGCTCCAGACCCTGAGCTGAGACTGACTGCACCCTGTGCCAGCCAGCCCTCGCTGTCTGAACTGTGTTCTCCAGCCTTGCTTGGAGCTGATGAATTAAGCCTTTAGAGACACCAGTGACTCTTTTAGAGGTTAGTCGTTGAAACAGCACTTCTCTACAGCTCAAGGTCTGTGGGAAGGTCCCTTGCTGTAGCTGAAGTAGTTCAGGGACTTGGTGGTGTTTTGCAGCCTCGGAGCCTTAATTCAGGGAAGGGTTCGACCTGCTTTGATTAAAAGAAAGAGGTTATTTAGACTGCTTGGCTACTTGCTACGAATGATACCCAAACCATAAGCTTGGAATATAAGCTTAGTTTCTCTAATCAAAACGTAACTTATCTCTCCCTTCTTGGGTAGCAGACATGGGCCACAGCAGATGCTTCTCCTTAAAGGGAGAACAGTTCTCTTGGACAAATTCAGCAGTCCCTGGAAACTATTTGTTTAGAATATATAGCTGTCTGTGCTACTTCTAACCCTTCTGTAAACGAAGCCAAAGGCTACTACCTAAAACAAAGCCTGGTGTTTAAGAGCCTTTCGGTTGGCCCCTGTGCCAGGCTCAGTGCTGCTGCATGAAGGCAGGTAGTGCAGGGGGAGGATAGTCGGGGACCCCCAGCTGCTCTTTCTGGAAAGATGAGTCAGCTCCATCGCTGCTTCCATGCCCCTCATCAGTGGGCTCTGCTGTGGGAAACTGCTGGCCCTGCCTTGAGGGAGCTGCATCCTTCTGGCTTGGGTGTGGAGGGGGATCTTGCTGAAATTGGGGGTGAAATCTCCACCCCCAGGATGGAGGGGAGACATCATCCCGACTTCAGGAGTTCAAAGCAGTGGAGCAGAGGAATTGAACTCTATGGAAGGCAGATGTGATTTCCTCTAGGAGGGTCTGAAGCCAAGCCAGTGGCAGAAGCAGCCTCTCTATGCTATGCAAACTCCTGAAGATGCTGAGCAGAGATACTATCCTGCTAGAAGATAAATATACTGTTGTTGTTAGGATAGTGTTTTCTGCCTGTGGTTTGTTTTTTCCCTGCCCTCCCCTTTTAGTGTTTTCCACAGCAGCTCCTGGCAAACACGTGAGCTGTGGACTAGAGCAAAGAATGGAATGAAAACAGGCCTTGGATAGTCTGAGCACCTCATAACAGATAACCTCCCAGGAACTCAGCTCAGCAGCCGTTCTGTGTTTTGTCAGCAACAGCAAAACTTAGGTGACGTTTTGGGGTCAGTGAGCCAAGAGAGATGTCACATACAGCCTGATTTGCATCTTTGTTAACACAAATATTTTATTAAGACTATAGTTTAAATGGGAGACTGCCTCAAACTGTAAATTCAGCAGTTCCTGGCAATACCAAGTTTGTGAGGAATTTTTTAGGCACCACAGCTGTTGCATGTTCAAGGGGCCTTTCTAGTTTGATCAGCAGATTTAGTGCTGTGGTGCAGCGTGTTGGGACACAAGGCAAGGGGGAATTCTTGTGACTGCCATCTTGTCGTTTTGTCTTTTTTCTTTTTTTTCTGGGATACAACAGCTACATGCTTTCTGCAGCTGAGTCAGTCGTCTTCATTCGTCTTCATAGATGGGAACTTGCTTGATGACTTTCTAATCCTGTCACCAGAGTTAACTACATGCTGAGCCTTCTGTCAAGCCAGGAAAGCTTGCAGGCAGCTTATTTCCGACTGCTGCTTTGTCTTTGCTCAGAAAAGCTTCTTCGTATGAGGAGCTGAAGCACAGTGTAAACTTTCAAAATGTGGAGCCAGCGTCTGTCCATACAACCCTCTCTACCATCTTACTTCTGGTGGTGGTTTGGCCTTTCCCTTGTCTTCCAAATATCAGAACATTCTCTAATGAAGCACAGAATTGCAATCTCTCATCAGCCCTGTTGGTTTATTTAGTACTTCACTTCATCCTGTCTTGAAATCCTGCTGGTGTAAGAACTGCCACCTGGAGTTCATGTCCTCTGGAAGCATCTCACTTGCACTCCTTGTCTTTCCCTTGTTTCGTCAAAGTCTGTTTTAGATCTTTGCACTCCAAGGGTTTCCAGCCTTTGCCACTTCTTGTTGGGTGAATGGCAGAAGTTTTCAGCTTCTCATCAAACCTGCAGACTTACAGGCTTCTCAGCATGGTTACTTTATTATGGGTGTAATGGTCCTCTGATCCTAATCTGGGATCATCTACATACAGACACCTCACAGAGCAGTATAAAATGCGGTGATATCTGGATGCTAAACTGGAGTATACTTTTTCTTCCCCTCCAAATGAGGTGGGAAAGATGTATGGCTCTTGTCTTCTCAATTCGGTGTCTGGACTCAACTGAGTCCTCACAGGGACAGACTGCTCTCCTAGCCCTTGCCCTAGATAAGATTGCGTGGTGAGAGAGGCAGAGAACGTGGCTGATGTTTCATAATGCTTGATTCTGGTGGTGGTGACATGTGGATATTCTGGCATAAAGTAGGGGCCAAGCCAAAATGCCTAAGACTGGCTTTGGAAGGGGCAAAGCACTTCACTCAAGGGAACCTGCAGGCAAAGTGAATGCTGCTCTTTTTGTGTGTGTGTGTTTGTGTGTTGAATCCATAATGTTGTAACAGAGAATGACAAGCCAAAGATTTCCTTCCTGGGAAGGTTCCAGCTGCCAGATATCTAATCCTTTGTCAGCTGGCTCCCAGCCTGGTCCCATAGGGTCAAGGATTTCTCTATTCAAAAAAAATCTTAAAATCATGTGCTGGATATGTTTGTCCTTCCTTGGTTCTTCGCAGAAGCTGTGCATTTAACTTGTGCTTCTGACAACAAGGTTCTAGCAGCAAGGGGTCTCTTCCTCAGATTGTTTTGAATGGTCCTCCATACAACATCATGTACTACTAAAATACTGTGTGAAGGACTGCCAAGCAGAACCTGGGACTCCTGTGCGGTTGGCTGAGGCTCTCTTCCTGGAGTCACGCTAATCCTGTTTACTTTGGGAGCAGTACCATGGGGGCATGGGTGGGAACAGCAAAAGAATACTTGTTTTTACTCTGGAAGTATGGACAATGGTGACTGCCTCTCTTTATTTGTCTAAACTAATAAGCCAGCTATATATGTTTTGGTTTTGCTCTTTCAGATCCTGGGTGCTGTGATCCTGGGTTTTGGAATATGGATCCTGGCCGACAAAACCAGTTTCATTGCAGTTCTACGTAAGACTGTGTTTCTTGATCTTCTTTTTCCTTCTGAATTGACTTGAGTCCAGGGCTGTGTCTTGGCCATGGGGATGGCAATGTTCTTCTGCATGGTCTGTGGCCTGAGCAATAACATGATGCATAGCAAGATGGGACAGAAGGACAGGGTGAAAGGGAGCAACCCCAGAGACACAGCATTCCTCCTAGTCTTGTGGATTGCAACACCAGAGTCAGACTGAGTGAGACCATTGCCTCTTCACCCAACAATCCAAATACTTCAACTAAATCTAGGGACTAGTATTTCATCCTGTTTTCACTGCATGCTGTGTGTTTCCGCAACAGCTTCCTCACTACCGTCCTGTCCAAAGGCCCCCAGTGCCTTAATGTAATTTTGCCATGAGAGTCCCTTATGTTCTCACTGCTTTCTGTAATGATCCATTTCAGTTCAACTGTTTTAAATGCCAAAGAAAGAAGGTACCTGGATGTGTTGATGCTTCATGTACATTGGAAATATCCAGTATGTTTGTTCCTAAGCAGTGGAGGATGCAGATCTGAGGGGGACAGAAGGTGTGGGCTGTGAAGCCTTTAATGCTCTGACTTCTGAAACATGCTGGGTTGTACACACTGCCTGAGACTTAGCTGGGCCATCGGAGGTGTTTTGTGTCACTGTGTGTGCGAGGAGCTAGCTTCCTTCCCTGTTAAGTCAGCCAAGAGCATCAGCTTGAGTCTTAACAGAGGGTCTGCTTTCTGCAGCAACCAAAAAACTGAGCTGTCAGGGCTGTGAGTGGGCTCTCACCAAATGAGTAGCTCAGCTCCATCTTTCACAAACTCCACTTCCTTTGTGCATTTTGCTAGAGGGGCCTTCAAACAACTTTTCTGCTTGGTGGTTCTGGTTACTCATTGCCCCTGCCTCCAGAATTGCTGACTCTGGCACCAGTGTCAGATGCTGCAGGAGGGCTGCGTGCCCGCTTGCAGCCCCAGGGAATGAACAGTAATGGCATTCATAGCCCGGTTCCCAGCTACGCCGATCCTGCGAGGGGCTTTATCTCCCAGGTCCTGGCCTGGCTTTGGAAAGTGCTGAGTGGAGACAGCACCCCCACTAATGCCGTACACACAGACACTGCTGCTTACTCCGTGCTCTGCGTCTGACTTGCTACTGCAGTGCAGAAGGGTGAGAAGCACAGTAAGAGGTGTTGGTTAATAAAGTGGGGGCATGAGCAGAAACGCACTGTTAATACAGGCAGCCAAAGAGGAGCTTGCCAGGACCCAGCTATTTGCAGCACTCCTGCGCAGCCCAAGGAGCGTTTGGTACCCATGGGCCAGCAGCTGCTCCCCCGGGCTGAGGGGTGTCGCTGCCGCTTGGGGACGTGCAAGGACCCTGGCTTTGGCTCTGCTTATTCCCATTTTACCCAGAATCTCTGCTAACAGAGCATTGAAGGGTTTAGCTTCCTTCCTGGAGATTTCTAGCATCAGCTGTTTTCTCCCTGCCCCCTCCCTTCCTTTCCCATGCCTTGCCCCTCTTTCCATCTGCTTTAGTAACCCAGGCGTCGGGGAGGGAGCCCGGCGCAGCAGGGCACTCCGGCCGCTGCCAAAGGAGCCTGTTGTGCTTGCTTGGCCGCCTGCCCAGCGCAGGGGAAAACACGGAGCGACGGCGGGCAGAGCAGGAGTCCTCTTGCCGGCAGAGCCTTCTCTTGCAAGAGAAGATGTATTGCAGATGAGAAGTGCAAGCACGGCTCCTGTCCCCCTGCCGCTGTCACTTCTCTGAAGGGCTTTTGAGTTGGAAATGCTTTTTTCTCTCCTACTGAGGAGTTGACTAAGCAATTGCTCCCTAGCACTGTGGAGGTGCTGCAACCTGGGCACTTCAACACTTGTACGATGGCTGAGCAGTTTTTGGGGGAGGGAATAGTGCAGCCTTGTGGAGGCCACTCCTGTAAGGCTGCTGCTTCAGCACGTGCTTTGCAGTATCGGCACCTAACCTGCGCAGCAAGGGTCCCGGGACTGGTGAGGAAGGAGGAGCAAGGTCTTGGTTTCTGTGGCTTATGTCCAGCCAGGGAGAGTCTGGCTTGGAAATGAATCAAGGCTGAAGTGTCTGAAGTGACCTGTGTGGCAAACGGCTTTGGTTCATTTTCTGATAACTGATCTTTTTCCTCTGTTTGGCATGTTCTAGGGAAAAAGTTTGGAAGCTGGTGACTTGCACCAGGTATCAGAAGTCCTGGGGGGAGAGTGTTAGTCTGGATTCAGTTTCTCTCTCTTAACCTGTTTCAGGAGTTGCTCAGAGGAAGCTTGTCTGCTGGGACTTCTGTCCCGGAAACTAAATGCTGAGCTCTGGGGACATTATTTTCATTAATCACTGGGCATCCAGAATTCCCCTATACTGTGCAGTTTGCAGGTTTAAGAATATCTTTTAATGATAAGTGAGGTTTCTGGTTACTATTTCTAGACAGAGTATCTCTTCAACTTTTATGCAGTAATGCTTGCTCTGTCCAATCCTGTTCTGCAAGAAATAGTTCTGTGACCAACCCAAATGTAAGAGCTTGTTTCTTCTCTTGCTCACAGTACTAAATGCTGAAGGGACAGGGCTGACAGCACCAGCGTGTCTGAAATAATACTACCTAAACCTGGTTGAGAAACTGTTGAGTGTTCAAGAGGAGAGTCATTCCAGACACAAAAGCAGAGGATAGCTAGGAGGCTATGTAAAAGTAGCTGATTTGGGCATGGTATCTGTTTTGTTTCTGGAACAACATCTGTTAGCAGGGGGTCATACGCAGGTGCTGCAACAGCCTGCAGTGAGTGCCTGGCCACAAACCACTCAGCACTGACTCGTCAGGTAACCTGTCAGATCATCTGTGCTTAACACCAGCTGTAGCTCTTGCATCCTGTTTCACTCCATGGAGTTGTGTGTCCTGCTGTTGACTGCGCGTGGAGAAGTAAAAACAGAATGGCTGGAACAAGAAATAGTGCATTAAAGTGACAAGCCAAACCAGAAAGGATTTTTAGGACTTTAAAAAAGCTTCCCTGAAGAGAGTGAAGGGAATTGAAGCAAATAGGCAGTAGCTGCGGAGTAGAACATACTTTATCTTACTCTCTCTCAGAGTGCATTTATGATGTAGTTAAAAATCCAGTAAGGAGCTAACTTTCTCTGAACAAGGTTCATTTGTTTGGAGTGGCCTTGAGTCTCCCAGGCTCTGAGATAATGGAGACCTGCAGGTTGCCTTTGAAAGTCTTCCTTCATCAGGAGACACCCAGAAGCAGCCTTCTGTCCCCGTGTTCAACGTGCCTCTGTGCAGTCCCTTTGTAGAAGACAACAGAGTATTACAAGCAGATATGGAGGTAGGTCTCTAAATGGTGATGGCAGATATAGTTTTTGTTAGCAGCTAATTTTGTTCCCTCTCCTGGCCTCTACAGAGATGTCCTCTCCCTCCTTGAAGACTGGTGCATACATCCTCATCGGCATTGGGGCTCTCACCATGCTGATGGGGTTCCTGGGCTGTCTTGGAGCAGTCAATGAAATTCGATGTCTCTTGGGTCTGGTGAGAGAATTCATGCTATCTTTTAGATCCACCCTTTAATACCTCTCCTGCAAAGTATCTGTTGGATTGTAGCTGAGGCTCAGGTCTCCTGGGGACGGTCCTTCTGCTAGGTCAGCATAGATCCTGTTCTTAATTTGCACAAATTAAATTCTACAGCAGTCAACAGGCTGCAGCAGTGGTTCCTCAGACATTGCTAATGATGAGCTAATAACTCAGCAAAACAAGAGAGGGTGTTGCTGACACTTTCTGCAAACAGTAGGTTGAGGACTGCCAGCTGAGAGGAGATGCTCCAGGTGACCTTGTACCTTGTCCCCCCCCATCCTGACTTCCCAGTTGGCATTGTGCTCTCAGAGATGCAAGGACAAGTGTCAAAGGCAGTGAGAGAGAAGAGGAAGAGTGACAGTGTCCTGCTGTGCTGCAAAGTTCAGCTTCTGTGGAACACGCAAGAGATGAGAGAGGCTTCAATAGGAATACCCTGTATGTCAGGACCTCTCTTCAAATGGTTCATCTATAGGAAATTTTCGTTCTGTGGTGGATGAGATGACACTAGCCTCATACCCTTCAGCCTGCAATTTGACTCCTGCTTATTCAGAGCATGTATGTGCAGGAAACGAAGCATGGCCACATTGTGTGTCCTTGGCATTAGGAACACCTCCTAATGTAATGGTAGTAGCTGCCGCCATTTAAAAGTAACCTCAGATGTCAAACTTTCCTTAAAAGCAGTTTGCTGGTGAATCTTAAATTTAGATCCTTAAACAAATTAAATAGCATTTCTTGAAAAGGTAATTGGCTTTATAAACAATAATAAAAAAAATAATTAGGTTTGTAAAATTGACTTTTCTTGCCATGGAGGCTTGGGGTGGGCAGAGTCCAACTGATTGAGGTCAGAGTGGACTGCGGATGGAGATGGAGGTGGGAGAGGGAGTCCCAGCTGGAATGACACATGCAGGGGCTGCTTGTAAACGCTCTCTCTCCTTAAGTTTTCCTGTTGGCCTGATGGGAGAGGTGCTGAAGTGCACTGGTCTGATGCAGATGCTAGTACTAAAGCCTTTTACTGGGGAGCACATTGTTGATAGCAGAGCTTGTCTGCAGGCAAAGGTGGTGGCTCAATGTTGTGACTTCTCCTGTATATGAAATCTTACTACAACTTGTGCTACTATGTAGTAGGCTGATAGTGGTCAACTGTTATCTTTTATTTCCAGTACTTCACCTGCCTGATGGTAATCCTTGTAACTCAGGTTGCTGCTGGACTGGTCATCTACTTCCAGAAAGAAATGGTGAGTGTTTCTTACTGTGCACGTTTTCCTTGGCCTTGGTTTGGGGGAACAGGACACACCTGGAAATGCTTTCTTCCAAGCTGGGCTGTGCTATTAGTAGGCATAACTGGGTTGTCCTTTTTTCTACCCCAGCTCAGCAGCTTTGCTGTACAGTTTTCTGCTTCTGTATCTGCCAGCCTCAGTAGTGCTACTTTCTTGAGGATTATGAAGCTCTGTTTGGTATGCAGGCTTTATTTTTGGGTAATGGGAAGAGTAGAAAGAAATTCCTGAAAGGCTTTTGACCACACCTCCTCTTAATCCTGCTGCAGACTACTATTTGGGCATGTAGTAACACTGATTACTGCCATCACTGGTGCCTTGAGGGGTTACCAGCCTGGGTGATTGTTTTGTCCGTCCTTTCAGTCCTTCTGCATCTGTATGTAAAACTCTCCTTGGAAGAGCTGTCCTCTTTCACTGAGAGCAAACCCAAGTATCTGACAGTTCGTGTACTACAGTTTGAGCTTAAAGCCAAGTGGTTTAGCATTTTGAAGTGGATCTCTTTGCCAGAAATGCAGTTTCACAGTGTGTGCTGCTAGAGCTCCGATAGGCTTGGTAGTGTAAAGGGTATAACTTTTGAGCTACTGATGTGCATTGCAACAGCCTGTCCTGGCTGTAGGTTCCCTGGTCAGGGCAGTGCCCAGTCAGGCCTCCAGCTGTTTGACAGCTAAGCTTACCTTAGCTGGCTTCTGTCCTAGTGTGCAGGTTTCTGATACCAGTTGTGAGTAACCCTGTCCTTTGCCACATAAGTGTGTATCTGTACCACTGCACGGCTATGCTTGCTTCCCCTAAGCCAACCCTCCTGCTAAGTGGCTGCAGAAGGCAGGTAAATGAGGACGTTATGGATGGGGCCTGGTGGTGAAGTTTGGTGGCAGGGGGAAGGTGCCTGCCCCTGGCATAGCTGATAAGGGCTTTGTATGAGTGGCTGCGGTGACTGCGAGCAGCTGTTGGCTGGGTTCCTTGCCACATGTGGTGTGAATGGAGCTTGCTCTCTGGGCTGGCTGGGGCTGAAGGAGAAACTGAAACGTTGGCTAGCTGGTGTGTAAGTTACAGCTTTAAACAAGTTGCTGGTGCTCAACAAGCAGCTCTGACTAATGCAGAGGAGGAGGTGTGGGCTGGGCATTCCCCTGCGATGGGTAAATGTGACTTTTTCAGACCATGAAATTCCATACTTCCGTTGGGATTTCTCTTCCAGCTGTCACTCTGCTCTAGAAAACTCCAGCTTTTGAGCTGTAGCTCTTCACTTGAACCTCAGACCAGGGAGAGAATAAAAGTGCTGGGGGTTATCCTGCACAGCCCTTGGAGCCCGTGTGGCTGAGATCATCACTTGTACGCATCCAGCAGAATGGTAGGGGAAGCTGGGCTTTGAACAGATGCTGCTGTTCAGTCCTCAGTGAACAAAACTTATGGAAAGGCTCTTCTGGAGCCCTTCTGTTTCAGGGATCCTCTGAAGTACCTGCCTAGAGCACTAAGAAAAACTGTTTCAGGAAGTTCTCGGCTGAAACCTCCCCCACACTGGTTTGTGGCTGCGCTTCAGCGATGCTATGCATGTCGCTGTGCTTCACTTGATGTACGTCATCCCGGAGCACAGTGAAACAAACTGAAAACTGCTCAAGATCCAGTCCCTAGATGTCTATTGTGTCTTTGTGTTTATTTCTTTCTGACTTCAGGAACTTGGTTAGATATAAATCAAGGAATAACAGGAGTGGAGGAAGGGATCGTGGATCCAGAACTTCGTGAGGTGATACTCACTCCTCCACTGCTTGTAACTGAAGTATTTATTTCTGCACTGCATGAGAGTAGACAGGATTATTGTTGTACTCCTCTCTCTACCTGCCCCTTTCTTGATTAGTAGCTACTGAACAGATTCACTTGATGGTTTTTTTTTTTTTTTTTTTGGATGCTGTTCATGACACATCTCTCTGCATCCTCGTGTCTAGCTTGATGGGTTGTTGTCAGGTACTGTGTGGAGTTTGGATGCAGATTACTGCTTTGCAGTTCTGTCTGAATTCTTGAGAAGTTTTGGGGAGCATTATCTGTTCCTTTCCAGTGTCAAAGTCCTTCCCCACCCCTGACATGTGAAAGTATGCTGAAATAGAGTTAGTGTTAACTGTAAAAGGCTGAGTCTCTGACAGGAAGGCTGCTGTTTTGCCTTCCCCATGGGCATTGCTGGAGGAATGCCCCTTCAGACTGGAATTGCCCAATACTACTGGGAGGATGTTGATGCACCATCCATTTCCCTACTTCTGTTGTTGACTGAAACTGTGGCGTGGGGTTTTTTAGGGACAACAGAATAGTAATGTCACGAATGGCATGCCGCTTTGTGAGCTGAATGTTGCTGCCCACCTACATCTAGCTGATCACAAACCCCTAAGCACGTGAGAACCTGGGCAAGGTCTCCCTTGGCCAAGTTCACACAGGGCTCTGCATCTTCGCCTTGAGGGACGGAAGGAGAGCAGTGGTCTTCTGGGAATTGCCCTGCTCGCTATTGTTCGCAGCAAACAGACTGGTGTGATTGCGTGCAGCGACTTGCCTGGGGCTGAGGACTATGCACTGGTGTCAGAATCTGAAGTGACTGGGGGGGTGAGAGCCCCCTCCTGGCTTTATAAGCCTACTTTTGTGTGCAGGCTAGATGCTAATAAATGCTGGGGGAAGGATCTAGCTTGAGTCTCAGACAGAGGCACGGGCTAGATGACCGACGGTGTCTGACAGTGAAAGAAGCCTGCGTGATTCATTCTGAGACTGGAACCAAAGACCTACGCTCTTGCCTCTGGTGTTCAGCTTTCCCCAGCTCCCTCTTCAGTGAGCCTGTGTGAGGGGGACGCTGACAGCCCTGCTGCTTTCTAGCAGTGGCCCGTGGCTTTGAGTGACCCTGCTGTGGGGTGGCAGGGATGTGCCCCCCGACACCAGGCTAGCTAGAGCTGGGAAGCAGCAGGAGCCCAGAAAGCAAGGGCAGAGGTTTTTTTTTTTTTTTTTTTTTGAGCAGTTGCGTTCCACACAGCAGAGAGTCCTGGCAGGCCTTAAATGGGTGAAGATGGTGAGGACGCTGAAAGCCTGCCTGAGCGTTCAATGTGGCTTTCTAGCTTGTCGCTCTTTCAGTTTTCCTCTGCCAGGTGCGGAAGGGTGACCAGCCTGTGTTTCCCCTTTGGGCTGCTCCGCCGGTCAAAGCCATGGACAAGCTGCCTCTGTGTGCGTGCTCTCCAGAGCTGTGCTACTCTTTGCATAATGCTCCTTTCTCCAGTTACTGTCTGAAGCACCTAGGAATGCCTGAGTTTTGCTTTAACTGAAATGCCTCACTTTTTTCGAAACCAGAGCTGTTTGGTAAGACTTCTTGCCTGCTCTTGTGTAAGAGCAGAGGAAGAGCAGAGATACAGCTTCCCTCTGCAGCTGTGACTGGGGACAGCTAGTTCAGACCCTGTCTCTGCTTGTGGTGGGGTCCTGGGATGGAGAACAGAGGCAGTGCCTGGGATTCTCGCAGAAGTGATGCTGGCTCCATCTGGCCTCGTAGCTAAGGGGCCAGATGGGCCCAGGATCGGAGAACAAGCCCCGGTCTCCTTGCCTCCCTCTGCACATGGGGAGCAGCAGTGTGCGGGAGGGGTGAGGGTGGGAACTCAGAGGTTCAGTGACTGATAAGGCTTATGGCAGCAGCCAAGGCCAATCTCATTAGTGAGAACCAGGTCACGTTGCCTTGATTTGAAGGGAAGGAAGAGGGGAAGTGAAGTAATTAAAAGGGGAAGAGCTAGACATCATGAGAAGAAAGATTGTGGAGCTCCCATCTGTCTGGCCTGACATAGCTGATCCCAGTGAGCTGAGCTGCGGTTTTCCTAGGAAGAAGAGTTGCTGATGTAGAGAAGCTCCTCTCTAGTAGTAGGCCCTGCTTCCTCTTGCTGGGTGTCCCTGGGTTTGCCGTTGTCATGTGTAGTGCTTAACAGTAGGAGGACAGGAAAAAAAATGTTTCTGCTGGTCTGAAATATGCTGTAGCACCATAGACAAAGAGGTATTGCATGGGATGGGAGCATCCTAGTGCTCAGGCTGGTGTAACTGTATCCTGTCCCTCAAGCAGTCTCACAACACTTCTCTCCAGCCTCTAGTAATCTGGGTCTGTCCTTAGCAATAACAGCTGTCCTCATGTACAGGCTGGCTGAGAAGAGCTTCAGAAAGAGGTGGAAGAAGGTGAAGGAGTCTGCTGGGGGGTAGTGCGCACCTCTCGTCAAACTGAAAGGTCTTGTAAATATGCATAAGGAATGGAGGTGAAGGGATGATTTAATACACTTAAGCTTTGTGAGAAGACTGTTAATGAGCAGTTTAGATAGTTGTAGTACTTCCTGTCTTAACATAGAAGCAGCAGTTGTAGGAGTTTGGGGAGAGGCCGATCATTGCCTTGTGCGAAAGGGAAGTTTCCACCAGCTGTACGTCAGAAAACCCTGTTTCATACAGGAGCAGAGTGACTCATAACTTCCCTGAGCAGTGGAGATGAACTGCAGTGGCTGAGATTCTGGACCAGAGTCTCGCTTGTGGTGCAAGGCTGTGTTACCTGTGAGTACTTAAGGCAGTGTTGTCCTTCAGCTTGCACTCATCTTTCATCTCTGTCTCGTCTGGGGCAGGCAGCAGTCATTCAGCCTGTGTCTTACCAGGATAACCATACCCAGTTCTGTTTCCTTATTACTTACTAGCGTTGTAGCCCTTCTCTGTGCCTGGGAAAGGACTTGCTGGGAAGTACCAGTGCTTTGGCTGTTGCATTGAACAGCAAAGCTGCTGTCTTGCCTTCTCCTCCAGACTCAGGCTGTATATATCATCTGATCTGTCCTCGTTATGTTTTGCACTTAGCATTTTTTGAGTGACTGCGGTTGCATAGAACGTTTCTGAAGACATAGTTTGTGCTGTGTACGATTGTTTTACTATTTTCCTGCCTCTTCTGGAAGGATTTTCCTGATGCATACTAAGACAGTTTCTGTTCCCTGACTCTGGACCACTGGAGCCTATAGGGTTTTTTGTTTGTTGGTATTGTGGTCACCAACCCAAGTTTTTCTGTGGTAGGTGTCCAGTTGTCCTCCATACATCATACCACTTAGTTGCCCAGGACTCCACACCTTTGGTTTCTTATGAGTTAAATTGACTTCCTTTTCTATTCTGATTTTAAGGGGATGTGTGGTTGCTCGGTTTGATGTCTGAACTTCTCTGTATATCAAATGTGTTTCCCATCAACACTGTAACAAGCATAATGCTGTACTCAGTAAGCAAAGGAATTTATTCCAAGTCTCAGCTTCTGAGGAACCTGAGCAGCAGTCTCCCATCTGCTGAATAAGCTTGAGAAGAAACTGATTTGTGGAGGAAGTGGGGGCCTAGAAGTAACTAATTTTCTCTAGAAAAACTTCCTTCTTACATAGCAGCAGGCTGTGCAACGTTGAAAGCTAGAGTGGATTTGTTGTGTTTTCTTCTGCCTGGAAAAAAAAACACTTTCTTAGCCAGAAACGCAATCTGGTCATCATAGTGGGACTTTATCTTAGTAAACACGTTCTGTATTTCATCCTGTTGATCGTATGTATTGCCTCTTCTTAAAAGCATGGACAAGACTGCAGAGTAAGGTATCTGAAGGTCAGTCTGGGGGATTTCTCACTGCCTGGTTGCTTTTTTCCTTTAAGCGTTGCTTTGTGTGCCAATTAAATGCTCACTTTCCAATGACTTCAGTCATGGTTCTATCTGTCTTTTTGCTGTAACTTAAAAATAATTGTGTTGTGGGAGTGTGATAGCCTGAGCACCTATTACTGTTTCCTTCAGATCCTTTGGAGAAGGTCTAAGCAGAAGCTATTGCCCATTCACCATTTTTTTCGTGCTTGTAATCACTGTCTGCACCTTCTCTGCTCTAGCCTCATTCACTGGAGCTAGAGCAAAATAAAATGTTTTCACACTCATGACAATAATAAGCTCCTGTTTTTCTCCACTGTGGGGAAAGTGGACCCACAGCAGGACTAGCACAGGTGATAGGGAGGGGAGTTCTGTACCCTGAGCCCCGAAAGAAAAGGCTACAGGTTAAATTAGTAGATTAACTAATATAACTCCCCTGCCTTTTTTCCTTTCCAGCTGAAAGAGGAGTTGTCCCACATAGTTGGAACTCTGATTGAAAATTATGACCCTTTGAATGATGATAAGAGGAACTTACAAGATGCATGGGACTATGTGCAAACACAGGTGAGTCATGGGGGGCAGCAAAAGGCAGATGATGCGATTTGTCAGTGCAGTAAATGGCGTTTAAAGCTGGGCTGAGGACAGGAAAACAGGTATTGCAAGAGGCAATACTATAGGACATTGATCTGGCTGATCTACAAAGCTTCCTGTGGGGTTTGGTGCCTGCAATACTAGGTAAGACCGTGAACCATTCCTGCACACTGGCTGTTAGGACTAGCTAGTTTTGGGTGCATAGCCTAATGGACCTGGCCTATCAAACGGCACCCCAACACGTCTCTGTCCGCAGGGCTTTCAGAATACTAACATGTGCGAAAGCCACAGTGCATACTATTTCTGTAGCAAGTAAAGTCCTTAGCTTATTGCCAGGCGAGCCAGCAGCACTGCCTGCCTTACTGCTTGGTGCATGTTGCTTGCTTATTGTGATGGCTCTTCTGCAAGTGTCAGCATTCTTGGGAGCCATCCAACCACCCACAGTTTCTGTTTTAGCGTCAGGGTCAGTGCTTGAGCAACTAGGTCAGTGTTCAGGCACACTGGAGTCATGATAGCTGATTAATGCCAAACCACAGGCTTGAGAGCTGGCTGGCTGTTGTGGTTAAATACATGCCTAACATGGGACTGGTGTGCAGTGAGTACAAGTAGTACATTTTTCTTCTGTCTGTTCTTTGGTCTGCAAAACACTGACCTGCAGCATTTCTTCTCCTTGGAGGGAGAATGATTTATTTATGTTTTATCACTGTAGTTGCATCTCCTCGCTAGTCCGTTCGAGAGAAGGCAGAATCTGCTGTGGAGAGAGGATCCTGCTTGAGCCCTGTTTTTTTTATGTAGTAACAGCAGAAGTTTTTGTAGAAGTGGAAGAGTCGAGTGTCAGGGTTCTAATTCCTCTCATACACTAGAGTGAGCATTTAAAAGGGGGTGGGTGTTCTGTAGATCAGTCCTGGGCTTAAAGTCCAAACCTCTGTGAGGCAGAGGTAGTTCCTTCCAGAGGCTGGATCTTCAACACTTACTTGGGATCCAAATGCGCATTCTGGTGTGGGTGTTCAGCTGTTTGTACCTCTACTCTCATGTCTGTTATGTCAGACTGAAACATTATATTTCTTTTCTGAGCAGAGCAGGATTTTCCCTGAACTTCCACTGCAAGTTTGATAGCCTTTCTGCTCTGCACCACCGTGCAAGCAGTGGGATCCATGCTTAGGATAAGATCTTAGTCTCTGCTGGAGTTCCCAATGTGCTTTCCCCTCCAGCAACTGAAGTTTTATCACGTGGCTGTATAGGAATGTAGATGTGGAATGGATGGAAAACTTTCCTCATCCCACCTTCCAGCCAGTCCCAGCTGCAGCCCAGCGGGTCGGACGCTGGGGCTCGGTGGCATGTCGACGCCATCGTGCGGTGGTTGCTGCTGTCCCCCGGGGGCCACAGCGAAGACCAGTGGTACCTCGCAACTGGGAAGCAGAAAACGAAAAGTTCCTGCTTCATGTGAGTTTTGAGTTCCTGCTCAAAAAATGTGGGCTACTCAAAGAAAAGTAAAGTCTTAGCGTTTAAACCTGCGGAAATGGCATCGCTAGTGGAAGACTAGGTAGCAATCCTTTTGAGATGTCTTTCAAGACATGGGATGTCTTGTCAACACATTGATCTCTTGCCTGCCATGCTTCTTCCTCATCAAATCAATCTGCTGACAATGAACTGGAGGGACACAAAAAATTCTCTCAAATGTGTCGCACAGGACAACTGTCCTCCTCCAGCTGACTCACCAGCAACATCTGTTTTGCACTTTTACTTCTGTTTAGCATTGTCACCTGGGGATGAGATTTGCTAGTATTTAGTTTACAAAACCTAATAAAAATTACACTCTGTAGAGTTGATGTCAAGCTGCATGGTCTGCTGAAATCTGAGTAGCGAGGCCTCCTGCAGTAATTCTTGGGAAGGATTCATATTCTAGCATGACTGGTGTGCTAGAACTTTGTGGATGGCCTGTGCGTATTACAGTCTATGGTGGTCAAAGTCTGCTAAAGTGGCCCTTTGATTCTTGTCTTGCTAGCAGAGTGATTCTTTGGTAGGAAATAATTCCCGTCTTCTGGACGGCATAGGTTGTCATCTGGTAACCAGGGTGATGTTCTAATGTTAACTAACTCATGCAGACTGTATGGCCTGACTGTTGTTACCTGGAGAGCTCCCCTGTACTTCTGCCTCCACTGCCTGTTTGGTTTTGCGTGCAGTATATTACCAGTGCAAAGTAGTGTAAGACCATCATCTCTCTCTGCTTGTTAGATCGCCTGCTGTGGCTGGAGTGGAGCAAAGGACTGGGAAAATAATGAGATTCTTATCAACCGAAGCATGACTGCATATCCCTGCTCCTGCTCCAACATTTCCAAGGGCTTTCAGGTAGACAGCGGTTTCTGTGATCTGGATGTTCCTGTCAACGGCACTGCAACGTATGCTGACTGGCCTGTTCATGAGCAGGTGAGTGGGTATGTCTGGGCCCTGTGAAGCTTCCACTGAAGTCACCTTGTCTTTTGTTCCTCTGGGAATTTGGAGCACTTTTTTCCCATCAGTATTGCTTGAAGCACCTGTGGAAGTGGGAGCAAGGAGGTACAAGGATCCTGCCCTTTTCTGCTAAAGCTACCGTGAAACTTGGTATAGCATGTAACTGAGATGATCTCTGCATGCACAAGGAGATGTATTATGGACTTTCAGTCTTGAGATGCTGAGATTAGTGCTTCTTTCCCTTGTGACCATGTTTTCTCCATAGGGATGCATGGATGGTGTAGAGAACTGGTTGAAGGACAACCTTGGCATCATTCTTGGGGTCTGCACTGGTGTTGCTGTTGTAGAGGTAAGTTGCTCCCTGGCGTGAACCTATACTGTCATACCATGCAGACTCTTTTAAAGGTAAAGCTATTTTTTCAAGTAATAGACACCTGGTTTAATGGCAGTGCAGTTGTAGCTCTTAGTTGTGTCTACTTGGAGCTTTGAACTGCTGCTTTCATTGATTGGATTAAAAATTGAGCAGCATTTCGAAAGGTCAGTGGATGTCCCCAGAACACAAGCAAGATCCCACTAATGAAATCCCACTTGTTGCCTGAAAAAGCCCGTAACACAGATTCCAGATGAAGGCACATCTTTTTGCAGCAAAATATTTTTGTCATCTCAATTATTGCATTTTCATAGAATCACAGAATGGTTTGGGTTGCAAGGGATCTTATACATCATCTAGTTCCAACCCCCCTGCCATAGGCAGGGACACCTTCCACTAGACCAGGTTTCCTTGCATTGGGGACCAACTGTTCACCTGTGTGGTGTCATTAAAAGGAGACCACAGTATTCTGCTCCCCTGCACCACCCTTTCTTCCCACCGTATTACCTGTCTGATTGCTGATTTTGTTCCCATTCTTCATGGCTTATTCCAGCTGCTGGGAATGATACTGTCCATTTCACTCTGCAAGAACATACACAGTGAAGACTACACCAAAGTGCCCAAGTCTTGAGTTGGCTGACTCCGGAGCTGCAGCACCACAGACAAAGGAGCAAACAGAACATTCCTGCCTCATACCCAGACTGTCCAACCATTGACCACTGTTCCTGTGACATCCCATTTCTGATACCACTCTGCTAAGAACTGTTAGAGCTGCAATACAGCCTGATCTTCTGGCAATAGGGCCCTTAGGCCACCTGCATCCTGCCTCTGGATTATTTCTACTTCAAGAAGCAGAACTTAACTGTCTCATGTCACGTGAGACACTGATTAACCTGAGGGGACAATGCTCTTGCTGCCTGCTCCATGTTAATCAATACTATTCATATCTCCATTCCACAACCCATTGGGCCCAACATACAGTAACTCCTCTCCCCCTGGTTCTCCTCCCACACATCTTTCCCCCTACCCCCAGAAGTCCCATCTATTTGTCCCATGAGCCAGGATTGCTGTTGAGATTCCAGTGCTTTGGTAGCTTCACCTATTTCACTGACTTGTGGTGGTTAACTAGTTGTGCTTTATAGGCCTTCTCCTCCCTTGCAGTTAACCTGATTTGGCTCCTACTGTGCGTCTTCCAGCCTAGGCTCTCATCTGAAATATTGAGTGCTACCCTCATACTCACTTCTCCAACTTCTGGGGTCAGCTATGCCTTGCCTTCAACGGAGCTCTTCGCTTGGAGTGTGATGAGAAGCTCCAGAGAAGGAGCCAAGCCTGCCTGTTCCTAGTGGCCTGGCAGATTGTGGTGGTGGTGCTCAGCTGCTTCTGGAATGGGTCCCCTGGTTTCTGGTTTTGACACTTAACGTGTTTCTTCTGCTTACCTCTTTACCCTTTTCTCTCCCCCAGCACTGCTTTGGTGGCTCCTGTCAGCTTGGAGGCACTTCAGAGGCTGCTGCATAGTGTGGACTCAGGCCCAGGCTGGCTCTGCTGGTTGCATTCTTGGGTTGCCAACTTTTATAGAGGTTATGATTAACTTGATTCTTCTCCCGCCCCTTTTATGAACGTAAAATTTGTTAGCTGTCATTTTTAATTATGAATATGGAGGGATCTGACTGGATTGCTGACGTTCTGTGTTGGAGATATCTCTGCTGCTGGTGTCCAGTTCAGGTTCTTAGTTTGGATGCAAGGATAAGTTGCTTTTATTTCAGTTGCCCAGTCTTCTGACTCCACTGCAGTCTGGAGCCACGGCTGCATTCTAAGCTCTGTCTCAAGTGCAAGCACTGCAGCACATAAGTAGCTGGTTCTGCAGTCGTACAGACCGGATCACTTCTGTACATAATGGCTGGGCTGTCCGCTCTATTCAGCCAGTGGCCAGCAGCAAGGAGTGGTGCAGAGCAGACGAAAGTAGGAAGTGTATGTGCAAAAACTGCCACAGCCTCTTAGATGAGGGAGCTGGGTGCAAATCCTCAGTCTCAGAGGTGGCTTGGGCACAGCAGATTGCTCGCAGTCGCACACGTGTGCAGTCACTGTGAGAGCAGGAAGCTGCATGAGAGAGAAGTGGGTGGTCCTCACCTGAGACCTGAGACAAGGTACTTCGTGAGAGAGGCTTTGCCTGACGGAAGTGGTCCCAGGACTGTCTCTGGTGAAGGTTGGGGTTGGTAGGAATAACCCTAGCAGCGGTTCAAAGGGATGACTTCACTACCTACTCAGTTTTCTTTCTGGGAAGAAAGGCTTATGCAGGGGATCAGGGCACCAGCAGTGAGTCCCTGCTCCGTCCTGATCTCTGGACACAGCAGTGACTGGGGAGAGTAGATAGGACCGGGCGACTGGTTTTTATGGAGGTCTGATAAGGCTTTGCTATTTTGAGACAGCTGCCCCCTCCTGTGCAGATCCCTCAAGCTGACCTTTGCTCTAGCAGAAGGCACTCTTCTTAGCAGTACAGCTTGCTAGCTTTTGTAGCACCGAGTCTGTTCTCTAATGTGTTCTTGTGTGTAAGATTCTTGTTCAGTTACAAATGCCAGTGCCGAACAGCAAGTAAAAAGGAGCCCATGCTGGGTTTCCTTCTTGTTTTTTGTCTGTTTTTAGCAACATCTTCCTACTGGAAGAAATGCATGTACAGATATAAGTCTAGAGGGTGAATATTTCTGTAATAAAGACTTTGCTAAAAAAACTCTCTGCCTACGACTTGTCCTCTTGCTTCCTGTCCACCCCCTTTTGCTTACATGCAAATTACTGACACCTTGTTTGTTCAAGGTAGCAAAGGGCCTGGCAAAAGCTGTTCTGAGGCCCGTGTGTGAAATCAGCGTGGACTGTAAAGATACTGCCCAGCAGCGGGAGGTGACAATTTTCCCGGCACATATTCTAGGGTAAACTTTGCCTTGTTGTATGAAGTAGGCCTGTCCTAGGGTGAGCTGACAGAGTGGTAGTTACTTTGGATTACCTGCTATCTCCTAAGCTAAGTGATCTCTGTGTTTGAAGACGTTTCTTCAAATCCATGCAGTCTGCATTGTATGAAGCCATAAGCCTCAGGGACTAACTGACAAAACAGAAGTTTGCTGCTATGCCCACAGCGCATACAGCTCTTGCTAGCTTAGCTTGGTTGTTTTTTCCTCTTCCTACTCATCTTCAGTAGGCTCCTGCCTCTGGGCTGCTATTTTAGAAAAAGATTTATCAGCTCCTGCCCTGCCTCTTTGAGGAGGAAGAAAGCTTACCTAGCCATTTTTGTAGGTTATGCCACCACACACTGGGCTTGACTTCTTGAAAAGCTCTTGAGAAGCAGTTAGAGCAACTGTGTGAATCTTCGTTCTTCCCTCCACTAAGCAGTTGAGAAGTGGGTATGAGCTGGATCTCAAAACTCCTTCAGATCCTGCTGCGTGGTGATGTTTCTGGCCATTTAAAATGGCTGTCCTTAGAAGGACCTATGTTAGCGTGCTGATGGAGTCTGGAGCTGTTGCTTTAGTACATAATAAGCATGACCTAAGTTCTCGTATGTGTTTGAAGAAACAGAGTGACGTTTGCAGAGGAGAAGGTGCTGGGGTGCTACCAGCAAACACTGGTGGCAACGGGTCTAAAGTCAAGGCTTTGGTTACCCTGATCAGCCGAGTGGGAGTGAGAGATGCTTAAATGGATCCTGGCCCCACAGCAGGGTGCAGTGATCTGTCTGATCTGTGAGTACAGCTTGTTTGTTTAGGCTGTCCTGGCCTTGTGGTTCTTGGTCATACGGCGCTGCTGGTCCTCCTTCAGCCTGATGTGGAGCTGGAAGCAGAAAGGAGGGAAGGTGAGGACTGCTGCTTGCCTCCCCAGCTGCCCGAGCTCTGTGGAAACCACTTGTCTTTGGCCACTAGAGGGAGGTGTTCCACCAAGAAAACTCGGCCCGGGTGCTGCGGCATCAGCAGCATCAGGTCCCTGGGGGATGAGATGATGACACTGATAGCTTCCTTCTGCTCCTAGTTACTCCTGGCAGCAGGGTAGCGAAAATAACTTGTAATTACAAATGTATTCCCCTCGTAAACGATTTGTGCTGCATGCTTGGCATTTTTAGGGATAGTTTTCCCTTCCATTTCTTGGAGCAGCACACAGTTGGGAGTTTTGTTGCATGTCTTCCACTACTCTATATGGGTTGTGTGTGCTTCTCTGATTTCTGCCCAGAGAAGCAACCAGACCAGGTTGCTCAGAACTCCATCCAGCCTGGCCTTGAACACTGCCAGGGAGGGGGCAGCCACAGCTTCTCTGGGCAACCTGGGCCAGTGTTTCACCAACCTCATGGTGAAGAATTTCTTCCTAATATCTAACCTAAATCTGCCCTCTTTTAGTTTAGAGCTGTTGCCCCTTGTCCTATCACTACACACCCTTGTGAAAAGTCCCTCTCTATCCTTCCTGTAGGCCCCTTCAGGTACTGCAAGGCTGCTCTAAGGTCACCCCGGAGCCTTCTCTTCTCCAGGCTGAACAGCCCCAACTCTTAGCTTGTCCTTGTAGGAGAGGTGCTCCAGTACTTCCCTAAGCACTCACTACTGCGCCCATATGGTGGACACGCTGCTCTGAACAGACATTTAGCCCAACCAAGTAGCACAGGGCTTTTCTTCCAAGTGAAGCTCTGAACAGCCTGCTGTGTACTTACTCCTCCAACAAAGCAGGCTTCAAGGAGTGAAATCATTACCATGGTAGATAAAACATGCAGAGGGAACAACTCTCGTGCCCTACACACGGTGCAAGGTTTGGTCTCACTCCAGTCCAGCCAGGGTGGCCGCACGCCTCTCCTGAACACCTTCTGGGCAAGAAGCCGTGCCCACCCATGAAACTCAACAGCAGCCCAGCACTCCTCACCATGTCGCTCCTCCAGCCCTCTGCCAGAGCGAGTTCCGTAGGGATCACCAGGAAACGGCGCGGAAGCAAATACCTGTGCTTTGAAAGAGATACTTGGGAGGGACTGAAAGCAGATCCTCATTACTTCCCCTTTACTCAGAAACCTCTCCTCATTTCCTCCCCATCCACCTCCATCTCCTACCTGCTAATGCATTTGGTGCTTATAAACCTCATCTTGAAAAAGGATTCCAGGAAGAAAGTCCTCTGACCTTTAGAGAGCAAGAAACCTGCTGCTGCTCCTAGGACCCAGGCTCCCAGCTCACCTCCAGAGGTAAAGGTTTGCTGCTGGAACTGAAAATCAGAACAGCACTCAGACTTCTTGGGAGCTGCAACGTTTGTCTAGCAAAACCCGCAGTGCCAACCTCTGCAGTAGCTCAGCACGGGGAAGCGTTTTGTGTGTAACCAGTGAGCTGCGATATAGCTGTCCCAGGCCAATAATTAATATTGCAGGAGTATAGTTGTGACCTCCCTGTGGCCTTAAGCAAGGCCCCTGGTAATGGACTGGTGACACTCCTCATTCTTGTGGTCATGAGGAGCTCGGAAGCTGCTGTAATTCTTCCCATGAGGTTTTTTTCCTTCTGGAAAGAGAAGAGGAATTGCATTAGAGTGGGTGTGGGTGAGCCTATAGGTCGCAGTACATCTTGTTTTCTGTGATGGTTTTTGCAGGGCATGTACTCAAATGTAGCGTGGCAGCTGTTCTTCTCTCTGTAACTCTCCCACGTGTCGTGGTGTGGCTGATCCCTGCTGGCTGTACTCTGCAGTTGAGGCTGCATTTGGTAGACTTCAGAAAAGGTCTGGTTTCTGGCTGCTGAAGGACAGACTGCAAGTGGTGGTGTCAGACTCCATGACTTGGTTGGGGAAGGTGAGGAACAGCAGCCGCCGGGGCTCGTTGCTGAAAACCCTGAGAGCCCTGGGACTCCCACAAATGCATTTTCACAGCCAGTTGCTGC